ACTATTATGTTCATTGGTTTCTCTAGAAACCTTTTTTTAACAAAAGTTTCTTTTCGTGTAGTTTTTCAACTCGATATATTAAATCTTATTTTTTTCTAAGTTCCATCGAGTACTTTACTGTGGTAAATTTGTTTGGTTTTGCAAAAACCATTTATTTATTTATACAAAATGTGTTCTATTTAGGGCCTCCGGGCCTGTTTTATATCTTTTGCTAGTAAAATGAGATCATTATTACTCGGTTTATGGAAAAGAACGTGTTGGAAACGCACATTTTGGGACGCAAAAAAAAAAAGGAAGAGACCCGTCGCGTCACAGCCATATGTTTACGGAATCACCTTTGACTGGCAAACGAGTTTCCTCCTTTTTATTATTTCCACAAACGTCTTGTCCCTTATGTGCGTTTTCACTAAAATCTATACCTACGTCTGTCGTCTGAGGCTTACCGCTTAAGTATCTCTCCGTGTAATGGATGTAGTGTGCCATCATCGTCATGCCGGCGAAACGCCTCGGGAATGTCGTAATTAAAAAGCACCTAAACGTGCGGTCACACCTAAACATCATCTTGGACGAAGATTTTCAAGTTCAACCTTGCGAGTGTTTTTCCAAAAATATTACCGTTTTCACTTTTTGTCGCAACCTTACGCAATAACCACGTTTTTAGACGATTTGACGCGTAATTGCTATACGCGTAATTTCATCAATTTTTTAGCTGATTAAATAGATTATTATTGTTCAGCTATTTTTTTGTTGAGCCTCAGTTCATACACATTTTTAATTTCACGCGGAAACGTGAAAAATATTCGTACTAACATTTTTATAAACTTATAAAATAGTTTTATTTAGTGATTTTTCATACGTAGGTTTGTTAATTTTGATAATATACTGACAATATGTTTACAAAAGCAATAATTGTTTTAACTCAATAATTAATTATATGATTTTAAGTTTGTTTAATTAACCAAGTTATCATGTTAGGTACTTCAATTACTCCTTAGGTATAATTTATTTTCGACTTTATAACAACTATAAAAATTACAATAAGGTTAGATAATTTAAATTTCATCCTTTTAAGTTGTCGTGCAGTGCACAGGTGAAGGCAAAGAACAACAGTATATTTAAAACAAACAGCGATTTGAATGGTAAAAGGTCATAGGAGCAAAACTGGACTAACCCTATTGTTTACGGTCAGACATTTTGTAATGAATTCCGCCATTAAATCATTTACAGTAAATACTATTATTTGATAATGTTGAAATAGTAATTTTTCACTTGGTTAAATTTATATCAAATAATACGTACTAGACAAGATTAAACGTGACTTAAAGGAACGGAAAAATAGTATTTAATATTAAATTTTGAGTTGCATTCAAATATACAGAGTGATCAGTTAATTATCCAATAACTTCAAAAGTATAATATAAAATAACGTGTATATTAAAAATATCATGATGACGTATGGATGTATTGGATCTTTTTTACAGCGCATTTATTAGTATCATACACTTAAAACAGAAAATAACCTTACAATTATATAACTTTTAGTTTGATAAAGAAATGATCAAACTATGAAAATGACTGGTCGATATAATTTTCAAATCAATTTTTTAAAATATATTAGTATTTTTATATCAGGACGGGAAAATACTGTGATTCTTAAATGCCTAAACATAAAAAAAAATAGTCCCGCGCTTTTCTTCCAGTCTTTTTATTTAAGTGTAAATAATTTCCGAAATGCTGAAATTCAAAAGTTGTTATCGATTAGTCATTTTCTTAATTAGATTTTTTTCTTATCCGTAAGCCAGTTAAATGTTTATATTTTCATTAAAAAAAACTGAAGATTTTTAAATTTAAAAGGGAAGAAGAACGTTAGGACCCTATATACTTTATGTTAATTTAAGTCTATAGAATATTAATAACTTCACTGTTAGAAATTATCTGAAAATTCCTATACATCAGTATAATATTTTTAATCTATGTGTTAATTTTACACACAAGTAGTGTAATTTTGACATGATGTATTGCAAATTCGTTTATTATTATTTATCCAAATTTTCTCTTTGCACGCGTTAAAAATGTTTAATACGCGTATGCAAAAATTCGAACATTTTTTATGAGTGTTGTCAAAAAAAAAAAATTATATTTGATCGTATAGTTTTATAGATATTGGATATATCTATATTAGATATGGAATGAGTCATAGTAAGCGGATCATTTAGGATGACTTAAATTAATAATAAATTACTACTGTTAATGGTTTTGATTACAATAATGTTCTACTCGGTATTTAATTGGTAAAATATTTGTTTAAATGTATTGTATTCAAAGATTTCTACGAATAAATTTGAGTTATCTCTATAAAGTTTTCTCGAAAGATGCACAACACTGTTTGTCGTGGGTATTATGAACTTTAGAGTGTTTGCAAAAATGTTAAGGGTGCCGTCTATTTTTGGAGAGTTTTCAATAGAAGAACGCAACCTTGTCGATAAAGATGACAATAATGTAATTGGAAACAAATTACGATTCGTCTACGTTGAATGTAAACAACTTTGCTGGGAAAAACGCGCACGTTAACGAATAACGAACACTTGACCACACTCTCTGTCCACCCACACCCGAATTCCTTCGTACACATAAAAAGCAAACGCGTTGAGCACTAATAAGAACTCCCCTTCACCCTTGCTTGCCGACCTAAAAACAGAAATTTGACGACCCCTCGTCTGTTTTGTGCAAATTATTTTTTTTTTTTTACCGCCCACTTTTGTGAGCGTTTACACGTGATCGTTGAGGTATTATTTCGATCGGCTGTGCCGGTGTCGATTAGCGGTCAAGGCATGCGTGAAAGATTATGACACCTAAGCTCTCTATTGAAAAACATAGAGGCTGGGGACGAAGAATTCAGACTTTGAGCGAAATTATGCCGGTCGATTTAACTCGGCGGCAGCGGCGGTTGAACATAAAGCCGAAACCCTTTTTTTATACAATCATTATTATTTTATTCGCTCTCCATCTGACACCGCCGCTTATTATTATTATATTTATTTTCGCGGGCGCGAGAAAAGGGTAAATCCTGCACAATGTGTCGGCACCCCATGCTGACAACAACCGCGGACGGATTACATGCCGAGTGTAAATATTTGGCACTGTCGCGTACACACAAAACGGCTATTAGTTGTCTCCTACGGTCGCTTAGTAAGTCTTTGAACAGATTCCGTCTTACTATCCAACCGACGACAAAAATGCGCTTGGTGCACAATACATTTTAGGAACGCATCAGACATTTTTGCAATTCATGTGTCAAATTTCTTTGTGGATGACGTAAATTGTTTAATATTTCATTCCGCGCAGATAGTGTGGTACGAAAATAGATAAAAATATTGACAGTCAAAGTACTAAGTACAAACAATTGGACGGCGGCAGAGAGGTTGACAACTAGAAAGTGTTGTACTTTGTATTCGATAATGGACTTAGATTATAAATAAATCAAAATCAATAAACATTTTTCACATTATCACGAATTACAACTATTGTATTATTAAGTAAAAATAATGCATTTACCGTATCATGTACTCAGTGCAGTATCGCATAGAAAACCTGAAAAAATACAAAATAATATATATATATATGAATATAATGTAAAAAAATATGACTATAGCTTAATATTTCTATTCTATAGTAATTTATTTGTTTTGGTTTTTGAAATCGATTAATTGGTTTTAAATATTTTCACAATTCCATCAACAACATTACTAATGCTCTCAGCACAGTATTACGTTTTAGTTGTCTGAAAATGCAAAATATTTTTTTTGTATCTTGTAATGACTCATGCATGACGATTAAGCTACCTATGACGCATTTTAAAAACATCCACCCGGAGAGAAAAGGGTTTTTGTTCGGCAAATTATCCCTCATCATTGTGCAGGTGCGAAAGGGTTTTATTTCTGCTGTTTGTACCCGTCGACCTTCTAAAGCAAATTCCATTACTGTTGTCTCTGAAGTCGGCACTTTCAGTGAGATTTTTTGTTTGACCTATACGGCAATTATTGTTACCAAATTGACCGAGTCCTATATAAGCACTCGTACGATTCGTAGCCATAATGTGAACCTATTAATGTTTCGTTAAACAGGTAAAACACTACGAAAAGGTGGATTTTGTCAAAATTATATGGTCTATAATGGGCAATTCGTATAAGTGATGATACTTCAGTTGATCAACACTTGTTTAGCACGTCGTCAGGCTGAGACAAAATTCGTGTTATTTTTACAGGAGTTTAATGGGAAGTCATGCGATTCTGAATAAGAATAAAATAGTAGTTTGACAAAATAATAAATATATTATGTATAAATAAATGTATTTATGAAACGCATAAATCACCTAACTTAAATTGGAGCACCTCGCGTTGATAGTATTTGTAACCTTCAACTACGTTCTAAAGACATACATAATGTGCATGTTATGGCATAAAATTTATTTAATGCATTTTAATAATTACAGTGTTGCATGCTATTTATTAAGTTCACAGTTCAATAGTTTAAATAATAAAATTATTGAACTTGTGCTTATAACTTACATTCGGCGAGAAAGTAATCTACTAATGCATTTCCAATATTTTTGTTGATTTACGTAATGAATGTAGATGATATTTTACTTTATGATAGTTATATGGCTTTAATGTGTTGTCTCTAGACAAATAAAGAAATATTTTTACTCCTATGACTTTTGAAATCGATATCTAATCAAAATAATTCTCTGGGTGTTAATGGATTGTTAGTTTTTTGATTAAGTTATTTATAATATAAACATTGTACGGAACATATTAGCGATAAAATTAAATAAAGAGTTGGCGTTAGTACAATAAAAGTTTACTGACGTTTACCATTTTCTTTTCATTAGTATAGTTTTTAGAATTCTTCTTCATTATCTTTTTTGTGATATGGAATTATTAATTTACTTTTGAACCCATTCAATAAACAAATTATCGATGTCAGTATGAAAATTCAGACTGTATGCACAATATTGTTTTTTTCCGATTACGATGTCAATATTAGCAATCGAGCCGTTTACTGTCAAATAATCTAATTAGATATTTTTGATTTTTTAAACAAGCGTGTAAAAACAATTTAAATTCTTATAAAAGTAAACATTTTGTTCAAATAAAAATCACATTAAAAATAATAAAACTAACGAATTGTCTTGCTTGTTTGATAAATTATAACAGGATGACAGTTGTAAGTATAATTTTATTTCGTTATTATGTTTACAAGGACTAAATTTTACTAGTTTCAAAAAAATCATATGTTTGTCAGTTGGCGTAAAATGTCATTGGACCTCTATGACATTTTACAAGGAGTTTCTTTGTTTTCACTAGAACACATCTTGTTATGTTAGTTTTGGCTCTGAATGTTATTTTGATTTCATATATTACTATTTTACAAGCAAAGGTTTTTAGAGTATTTGACGTGTACATGTCAACACGCCTGTTGCATGTACACGGTAATACTAGTTGAGCAATATTTAATATTGAAAAAAAGTATTTATGTTGGAGATTCGTGTTCGATCGAAAAATCTTTGGGTTGAAATTCATTAGCTACGTTTGCAAATATCGTTTATAATATTTGTTCTTTTAACTGTATTTTGCAACTTATTTAATTCAGCAGTAGCAAAGTTTAACAAAGTGTACGTGGTTTCTAATAAAATTTTTTCCTATCAAAAACGTGTATTGGGTTATCCAAACAACAAACATTCACTGTCATAGTTTACTGTTTAAAAATTCACAGTGGACGTTGAATAAGTTTAAATTACTATAAGTTTATACTCGAGTCGAGCTATTCGACGTAAAAAGTACCTTAGCCTAATAGCCATCAAGACGTGACAAGAATAAAAATGTATAAAGCACAATCCCGCAGGCGATAACGTTAGTATGATCCAATTAAAACGTACAGAGAAATCTGAACTTGGAATACACGAGTTAGTAATTAACCATTCGTTGAAGATTGAAATAAAATGGGTCAACTGAGTCCTTAACACACACAACCGCTACGACGAAGAGTTTGAATGTGCACAATTTTACAACACCGTCTTTATCTGTATAAATTACTTTTTCATTCGATAAATTTAGTTGAATCAGTAGGAGCGGTTTCCGAGTAAAGATGAACGTTATGTTTATTACTAGATGTTTGCTTAGAACTTAGTTGAAACTCGCTTGTACGTTCTCGTGTTCAACTTATATGCAATATTCTTAATGAGTCTAGACAGGGAATTATCAATTTTAAACTTTAATTAAGAAAACGAAACGAAAACAAAGGAAACACGAACGATTTAATAGAAAAAATCTCCGAGTCTGGATAAATTTCAAAGGAAATAATGATATAAATGCGATATTTTATAAATTTGCGACGAACGGTAAGAATTGCATTTTAAAGAACTTTTCTGAAGATTAAATTTAAATTTATATTTTAGAATTATCGTAAATATTTTCAAAATAAATTTACTATTTTTTTTAATGTCAAAATCAAATAAAAAATGCAAAAACTGGAAAAGTGTTGAAGTCGAAAACATAAATTGTAGATGCTATGAAAAACGATTAAAAAATCTCTTCTACAGTAAAATCCCACTTCAAAGAATTATGATAACGTTAAAGACCTGTCAGCTTTGTCAAACGGCTTACTCAGTGCAACATGCGAGTTGTTCTGATACATTTAACTGCGACGCGATAATTTATACAAATACACACACAGACACGCATTAGAGGCGTCCTTCATAATTACTTGCACGTGGTTTCCAAACGTATTACATTTCACCCCGCTGTTTGGGGTCACATAATTACTACAGCATTTTTAAAAATTCGGCGGTAGTCCTTGACTGTTAAACTGATTCGCATCCCTTCATTGGCTCTAGTACCCAAATTGGCGATTTAATCTACCAAAAATGTCTTGCAACCAGCTCATTTATAGCTAATATTAAAAACATTGTAATTAATAAACCTACGCGTGTGCACAGTGATCCGAATCGATGTTCGTTTAATATTTCTTTGGGTTAACGATTTACCAAACGATAAATGATTTATTTTCATATTTTTCTGGGTAGCCAGTAAAGATTAATGACGATAATAATTACTGCAATAAATTACAGTTATCGAATAACTCGGCCGCAGAAATTTAGTCGAGAAGCGCGCGCGCTTCGTCCGGAAGCGTTTGACCATCTGACGTTATCCAAAAAAGTGTAATTATTATTGCACGTACAGCAGCAACTGCCGCCTCAAGAGGTTTTTCAATTTATTACATTGTTCGGATGCCGTTTGAAGTGTGCGGTACATCTCCAAGGTAGAAAAAAAAAGCCTAATTTTTCCGCGAGTCTTGGCGGGGTGCTGAACAGGTGGTCCTTGACACCAATTAAAAATTACATATTACACGCGTACGTACTCCAACACCGTTACCGAGACACGTAGTAGTGTAGAGCGACGAGTGGGATCTTGAGATAAAGGATAGAATCGTATTTGATGGCAGCAGCGGCGCCTGTATCTCCTGACCCAAATTTGCACAAAAGGCGGTGGGGGACAGGTGTGTGCAGTTCTTCTCTTACTTTTATTTTATTATTATTATTATTATTCTTTTTGTACTTGAAAACAATCGGTGGCAAAACGTAATCTCATACCGAAGAAACGCACCACCAATCATTATGGCCATAAAAAACTGTAAAAGAAGAGAGAAGCACGCGCCAAAAAAAAAAAAAACACCGTTGCGGCAGATGTCTGAACGTGTTTTTTAATCGCACACACGTATCGTGTCACATCATAGTACACACAACATAGCGCTATAAAAAGAAAAACACATGACGCCTTGTTAACCCATTGTTGAGACGCGAACCATAAAAAATGAGCTGAGTAACACAACTCCTATCCATCGCCATTGTACCGTAGCCATTTTGTTGTAGTCGATTCTATTAGATAATTTAGATTTGTAAGAACATTTTGACGTGAGTGAAATTACCGAGACGTGAAATGTACTCTTCGGTGTTCCATCACCTCGAATATAATGGTACAGGGAGCCAATTATCGAAGTTGTCCTATAAATAGTCGCAAACGATATTTTTGTCAAGTATGGTGAAATTTTAAGGAAAGTGATATTTTAAAAAAAATCGACCTCTTTAATGTTTTAATATTAAACCCTCCATTTTAATTTTTTTTATAAAATCAAATGAAATTAAATATACTGTGATAGGATTTATGTTTACACCCCCACCCTCCCTCCATAAATTATCACCATTAGTATTATAAATATAATGAGCTTATCAATTGTATGCTGTTCAGTCGATTTTATGTACATATTATTCAAGCACCACTTTTATTATATTATTGTTATGTATGACAGTTTAAAATGTTTATTTCACATGTTATTTGAGACTGAGTATATGTTATAATTTACATTAGTTAAAATATAGTTGCAAAGCAATCTACATAAGACAGCTATTGCTCATAAAAAAAATCAACAAATTTGATACTCCATGGTAAACAATTTTACTATTATTATTATCTTTTAACTTCAATACTGTATTTTAATTTTATTGAACTGTTGGTTCTTTATAATATAATTATTATTATAATTTTTTATAAAGGTAATTCGGGAAAAAATTGTTATTGCCGCTTGCGTAAAAATATGTATTGAAAAAAAATTTGAAACAATAATTTTTTTTTTGAAAATTAAATCTTTTTGTTTCTTCTTTGAATACTTTAAATATACAGGATGATCAGTAAGTAAGGAATCGGGTTTCTATTGTTCTAATTGATTATAACAATTGACCTTACTTACTGAACATTCTGTATAATTAGTATATCAATATTATGTTATTAGATAATAACATAATGTTGTTTCAAGAATCGACCCCTAGACTCATTAAATGTTCAACAATAAACCTAATCAAGAATTATATGGGATTTCAAAAGTAAGATCTACATTTAATCGCAATCTTAATATAAGTTTAAAAATAAAATTATTTATTTGGCCGAGTTAAATAGTCATAGACGTAAACAATATTACACTTTTTTTAAATTGTTTTTGTAGTTATATAATTATTCAACATCATCATTACAAGAACATTGTACTTATTGATCATTGGACACAATGACAAAAGGTATAAAAGTAAAACGATTTGACGGAAGAATCTACTCAAATTACTCTTATGAACTTGTAATCGGTAAATAAAGCGAAATGTTTTTACAAGACATAGAACCGACTTTAGTGATTTAACATTGCGTACAAAAGAATGACTAACAGTCGATAACATGAGTCTTCCTATGACATGCAAGTGGGGTCAGTCGAAATATTGGTAATAAAATTGAATTACTCGACATTTCTCGGTCCACTTGCAGCACAAACACTCAAGCGCATTTGTTTCTTTAGTGATGGGACCTTCCGCTATAAATAAACTCTAGAAGATGTTTCTGTTCAAATTTCAAGTTGAACTATTTCAATTTTAGTCCCTATACACCGTTTTCTTTGTGGTGTAAATCAAATTTACAGACAATCGAGTACGCATGAAAGAGCATTGCTCCTAATATTCTTTGCATAAAGACATTTTGTACATTTAAATACCATTAACATTAGTTTCTCAAATTACACTACGTTTGTTTTCAAGTATAATAATTATCCGATATTTGAATAAAAAAATCTTATAAAACGACATTTTTTTTCGATTTTTCAAATAATAATAATAGAAAAATGAATGAATGTGATGTTGAAAATATGGTAAATGTTTCCTTGTATAGAACGAAAGTTAATTTTAAAACAAATTTCCTCAGTCTATATTTTTGAATAGTATTTGTCTAAAAAATAGATAAAGAATAATTTGTTCTCGATTACTAACTACATATGCCAGAGCTCTTTATGTACACCGTTCTGGGACGTTTGGCTTATAAAACTATTTAAATTGAACGTGCCCGGAATTCCAAGGACTGAATATCGGTTGGCAAAACGGCGCGCGCTTAATCAAAAGATGTAAAATTCCAACGTGATCGGGTTCCCCTTTTAATAAATGCGATCATAGAGATTTTCTGCGACCCCAACGGAAGACGGTGTCGCCTAACAGTTTTTATGGGCTGCCAAGTAGGAACACTGCCCGTTGTCCAGGAGCGATTCAGCCGTTCTCGGACAAACGCCGAGCCCAGTGCGTTTTCAATGCACTCGGTTGGAAACTTGAATAGCGACCGAATTGCCGGGTCGGGTTTCGCGCGCGCGCGTCTCGGCGTTTGATTTATGTCGTAATATATTATTATTGTCTGAGACGAACGAAAAGAAAATAACGAAGAAAAGAGAGAGACGTGGCGAGTAACCTATGGCGGCGAACGGATGCAGATGTTTCGGTTAGGTTGCGCATATTATTTACCCGACTACGACAAAAGGGCTAAACGTTATGTCACAGAGAGGTCATCTCGCCGAAAAAGCATACGCGCACACCCCACAAAAGAGCACCCGTTTGATCAGACGAAGGAGGAGTAAGGACGAGGACAAGAGACCGTAAAACATATTACTGGTGATCGAGGTAGAAAACGTGTACGGGGAGCGGCAGACGAGTTGTCCGGCCGTTATGGCAACAATGGGCAAACGACGGACAACGCGCTAGCTGTTGCATTGGAGTTAAACGGGTGAACACACAATGCCGGCGCACAATGGCCCGGAGAAATCGCGGATTCCATGTTTGTAATCCATTAAGTTCCAATTATGTTTACAATGCGCATATAGGTATTATACTTGTACATTTAGTTGAATAATTGAAAACGGATATTCTGTGTAGCGGAAAGCAACGATCGATCTGCCGATCAAAAACGTTGTTGGTCACAATGAAAGGCGGCGGCGGCGCCATGCTCCGGCAAAGGCAAGTCCAAAAAATAAATACACAGACCCCGTTGACCGTAATTTTTTGACATTCGCATAATATGTATATAAATCTTTCGGACAAAACGCTTGTACCCTATACACGGACGTTATGTGCATTGCATTGTAGTCCGCACCAGTTCACTGCCAACCAAAAGACTTATTGTTGTATTAATTTTTTATGTACATTTCCATTCACGGGCAATTCCTTTTTTTCTCTCGGGTCGCCACGGCCGGAGTTGTGATTAATTTACTATTCTGTTTAGAGTAATACAGCGCTTTTGCTGGCCAGATCTAAGCGAGCGCTTATTACATTATGTATTTTCAATGGAAGGTTCTGTTGAGCGTTTCCTCGACATTTTCCGAATGCATAAATAACACAGGGGACGAAAGCTGATTAAAAGCTGTTGCCACCACACGCCCATTTGTGGAGTTCTGGATCTCTGCCAAACTTTCAGCAATTCGGAGAGGCCTTCGCCGTCGGACGTCATCTCACTAATAGTTTTTCGGATTAAATAAAGATGATCATTAGTTATTTTTATTAGCGAACTTTTCTCTCTCATCCGTCACTAATTACTTTAAACGTGCACCGAACTTTTGTCTTAGGGTACTTAAAATTCAGAGTAAAAAACTTTTTACATTTTTTTATTCTAGAATACTTTTTGAAAAAACAAATGCCTACAGTTTTGAACGCGACCCAAGGCAGTAATTATTTATTTATTTATTCAACGATGTTTCCGTTTTGAATCAAATTATAAGTCACAGTGTCCTCCATTATTATTTCCAATAGGCTGATTCTATTGGCTCTAATTAAAACCGTATATTTTTAATCCGCCTGCATAACAAACAAAACTCAATGCCCCTATAAAGTGTCTCTAAATTTATTGGCTCTGAAAATAACCCCTAGCTTATAAATGTGGTCCACATTTTATGCTTATATGATTGTAATAGATTTACAATACCACAAATAACGATGGTTAATAACAATAGAGAGTAACATTGGAGTATTTAATTCAATAAATTTTAGGAGAACTAGTTCATCCGATTTTACAATATGTTTACAAATTTATTATAAGCACTGAATTTGATATGCGATGTCGTTTAATTAAAAACGGAATTTAAAGTTGACAAAGCAAAAACATCCATGAAAATTTTAATGTAATAAAAATTACTGTGAGATCACATGCGTATGCAAACTAAATATTTGTTTTATAAACTCACATTTATTGACGTTGATAGATTATTTGATTCTCGGAGGATGCTGTCCAGTCGTATTCGTTGGACTTGCTGGGCGGTAAGTTTACAAACGTACGGTGGACTCCACACAGGAAACCGATTCATCAAAATCTGTCAACAAGAAAATGCACATGTTTTACCGATAACCGCCATGACACGTACAGAGTAATAGATTATGCAGACTCCTGTTAAAATCTCAAGCATATTATATTTACATCTTACACGTGTAATTTATCACATAATAGCTATGATGACTTTCAACATAGTCAGTCACGGTGTCATGAAAATCACAGATACAGGAGTCTATCGACTTCTCAAAATGTCTTATACTGTTGTCTATGTTTAGTATACACAACCAACAAATATGAATGTATACATTTTTAATTGCATAATAATCGAATAAGTTTTTTTTTTAACTTTTAAACCAAAATCATGACTTTAAATTGAAACACGGGGATAACTAGGAGTAAAAATATATTTAGTCATTCCATGTTTATACTTGAAATATAAATAAAAACTTGAAATAAGTGATGCAATTAGTGGGATTACTTAGCAGCTTAGTTCACTCAGATGGCAAAGAGGTTTTAAGCGAAATTATTATTCTTAACATACACTACCTTTGTTATAAATTAATATAAAGTTGAATCATTTTAATCGTACAATGTATAAAAGCAGCTGTTCGATACTTTTTGCTACTGTAATGGTTTTTGTGGATAGGACTTGTGACTTTACAAATAAGTCACACATTATTTGATTATTTAAAAATTAAAAATCATAATTTCTTCTTTTTTAAATTGTTACATTTTAACTTTTAATGATATTATTTTTTAATTGAGAAAAGTGAAATATTCCTTCGCTTTTTCTTATACTAGGCTATATAAAAATATTAATTTTCTCAATTATAAATTTGATTTATTAGGGTTTTAGGGGGAAGGCCAGAAGTCTTTATTTGTACTACCACTCGCAATGACCATATCTGGCCGTTTGACCTGCACGATTGTGTCACGAGGGCGGTGCACTGTATATGATCGAGATATTATACGTTTTCTCCCCTTCGAAGAAAAAAAAAACTACCGATGAAGTAAACACCATTCGTCGTCGCAAGATGCATCCATAGATAACTGTCCGCTGGATTCTTGTACGGGTCGACCTTTTGTGCGATCGCAAAATACTCTTCTCCCCTGCAATCCTTCTCCCGCGCCAAACACACAAAAGGTGGCCGGTCGGTCAAAAAGGGTCGTGTTCCTAACACAATCCATCTACACAGTGCACCGCTCGTACACGTAATACGAACCTTAGATCACACTCACACACAAGCGCACATTTACTGGTTATGTAGAATTTTTTCTTTTTTAAACTCCGTACAAAAAGCCACGGTAAACAAGCCGCCCCGAGTACGGAATTCGGCTAAAATAGTTTCGAGAAAACGGCTTTAAGGAACCGTTTTTTCGCTAAACGTATTGTATTATGTTCCTTGACCCTTCTCATCGCAATATTATTGTCCTCCCGTCTACGGACCAATAATATAGTATTTTGTCGTTTTCATATTTAACATTTTCTTGGCAGTGATCAAATTACTACGGCCTTTGTAAATAACGGAACTATTTTTATTTTAATACTCCTATAAAAACAAAACTGAAACTGAAAGCTCAATCGGAGAATTCATCATGATGGTGTCATAGTTCTAATAATCATTTCTATTTAAAAAGTGCCAAAGTTAATTCATGGTTTAATTATTATAAGTGTTTAATGTGTCTAAAAAGCTCATAAATGTTATACTTTATATTTATAAATTTTCAAAAATAAAAATCATGAATTTTTATTTAAACTTTAAATGGAATCTACTTGCGTAATTTACACACAATTATATTTAAACCGTACGCTGTAAAAAATGATCGAAAAATTCCTATACGTCAGTATGATATACATGTTTTTTATACATGTGTAGTGGAATTTTTATAAAGCTATTGTATTTCTATTAATAATTAATACTATATAAAATAAAGCCATAAATAAAATCTATTCAATACATGGTATACAAAAACAAGACAATATGTAAACTTTATCGTGGGTATTATTATTATTTTTTGTAAAACTATTTACTTTTGAAAATTTAAAAATGATGTTTAACGCATATTTTCTATGATTAAATTTAGAGTATGAAATCAAGTGATGTTGTGCTGTTAAGCTGATTTCAGTTGTCACTAGTATCTATCAAAATGTTACTAAAATTCTTCATTTCATTATCATTTGCATTAGCTTGCATTGCCATCCATATTATAGAAGAGGACAAATGTGTGGATGAACTTAACACTCTGGTCAAATACCCTTTGTGGAAGTCTTTCTTACGCAAAAATATCGAGGAGATTCCGCGTATGGTCGACCAAACACCTAATGGAAGTCAAGAGATTACGTTACTGACATTATTTTCTGTCGACGAAAACGGCTGTGTTTTTACTAAAAACAATTGTTTTGATAAAATTCGACAATTTCACTTACTCTTGAGTATCTATTATTGTACAGGAATAAAACAGTTTTTAGATTTTTCCACTGGTTTCTGGAATTTATGTAAAAAGGCCGAAGAAAACTGGGTACTTATGTGCAATAAAAACTTTTTAGAAACTATTGGTAATTTCGACATTGAATTTCAAAGAATGATGAAATCATTGCAATATTTCGGGAAATTGCTAAGCCCTTCGAGTGATGAGACAGCACTGACGAATGATATTCATATGGTTATTGAAAATCTAAGAAAATTAACTGAAAAACCGGATTTAAAACTTAAAGATGATACTATCGAAAACACATTGAAAAACGTACAAAAATCGATACGAGATTTCTTAAAAAAACATTATAAGTCGTCAAAAGTAGACTTCGAAGAAAATAAAACGTCAAAAATTACATTCTTCACAAACAAGGTTGCCAATAACCCAGGACATATGTCGACAAAAGTACTGACAATCAAAAAACAATTCGAGACATTCATGATACGGCTCATAGCTCAATACAAGTATTTTGGATTTCAATTTGTTGGAAAAGAAATGTCCATTAATGTATCACAACCTCCGGAAAATATTGAAACGACGTTTCAACAATTAATACCACCAGAATACGGTAATGATGGAAACGGTCTACCGAATTAAATTTAAGTATTAATTATTATTAAAAATTCATATTTTATTTTGTAAAATTATTTTTTGTAAGATGACGTATAATAAACGCGTTAAAAACCGATCATCGATGTTTATTTTTAAGCCATCGCAGACAGTTGTACCAACCAAAGACGCTTCGTAGTGATCGCAACTACGTTAGGTCTTATTGTATTTTATCTGACCGTTAGTGTTTTACACTGCGGTACGACCCAAACATAATAATAGTGTGCACGACAAAAACGTTTGAATAGTCAAACGGTCGTGTCCAGAGAATTCAACGAGCAGATTTCTCTCGATCTCAACACACGTCAGTTTGTACTCGACGAATGTTTTGCCTTTCTCCGACTCGCATCTGTGTACACTCACTCCTAGTCCATACACGTAACACGGTAGCGGCTAGGTGGTTCTTAGCTGTGACTATCGCCGCCGGACTTCACGCTGCTTTAGGGAGGTCGTTAAAACGGGTCCGGCCTGCATCCCTTTCCGAACGGCGGCCACCCGCTGCAGCACCGCCCGGCATTGCGGCACGTCGTCGCACGGTATCCATAAGCGTATATATACACCACGCAGAATAGCTGTTAGGGTTGTTACGGTGCCGTCATGCGATAGTCCGCAGGACACCCGCACCGTAAGCGACTACTGGGTACTGTTTTTTTTTTCTATGCGTGTCCTTTCTTTATCCTAATTCGTATAGATACTCATCCGCGACGTCTTTACTGCATTTACTGGAAGGGCAGCCATGAAAAAATAAAGTGTACACCTATACGTGTACACTAAAAATAAAATATCAAACGTACTCCGTGCACATTGTGTGCGTTTCGGGGAAATAGTAATGATGGTTTTTACGCGCAATCATTTCGACTGTCTCCGCATAAAACCTTTACTTTAACGTTGTTACACGTGTACTTTAGGACTGTAATGAACTCTCGCGGCTCACACGACCGCTGTGGTCTTCGGACCGGAAAATAAAAGTACAAACGTTTTTATGACGTAAGCCGTTCGAATCATAAAATTGGCTTAAACACACGTCATACGCACACTGCGAAGAACGTGATATTTTCAGCTGCTAAATCACTTTGGCAGTAGGCGCGCGCGACGGCGAATTATTTAAAAAATCGACGGGTTCTAATCGAGTGGAAAAATTATTTCCATAATAATTTATATGAACAAACTATCCGACAACGACTTTTTACTACAGTTGCTGTAGATGTACGTTAATAAAGCAATAATACCCAGATTACTGCGTTATGATATAAATATATTTTACAACGGCAATGTATAGGATTAAAGCGTAACAATAGTCACAAAAAATAATCATGTTTAAAAAACGAAACCCGTGTCACCTGCAATACTTGTGCTCTATTACATTGGTTTATGGGATCAGTATTGTAACCAACAGTAAAATTATGATTAAATTTTTTTTTTCATTCACGTGTTTTTTGATAATTTATTACTGGCTGTTCAAATATTGATAGCGGACTATCTGTTGATAAAAAATGTGCGGTTTGTGACGCGTCTTGTGTGAATAGAATAATTACAGAAAACAATTAAGGCACGAACCAAATCATTAGTTGATCACGGTGTTTCCTTGAAGGATCCATATTTTAACGTAAGGTATTGGTAGGCACCCTAATATTTAAAATTATGGCGGCTTGTCGATTGACTGGGGACTTCCTGTCAGATATGAAGTACTGACAACCTACCGAAAAGAATTATCAACTGCCGCGTTTCTTATTTATAATAACGTGTGCATTGTGACCCCAGATACCTACGGAATACTAAAATTTGGAATTTATTTAACTCGCTTTTCGCACAACAGTGAAATGTCGATTAGAGATTTTAAAGTTAGAAAAAAAAATTAAACGAGTAACGTCACTCTCTAAATGTTCTTTTCATAGAAAAAGGATCAACAACGACAAAGGAACAAAACAATTTTTACATTTCAAATTTAATTTGGTATAGAAACATGTTTTATTGTGACAGTTTACGTTATTTCACGGTCTTAGAAAGAGTAAGCATACGACGTGCACAACATATCCCTAAAGTCAATATTAACCAGCAATTTCCTTGTCAGGTGAGTCGAATTTCCAGTAGAAATCCACCAGTGTCTGTATTATACACACACACACAATAATAATACGATGATAATAATATGGCAATATAACCCGTGCGAATTCTGTGCACCAGGGCGGTCGATACACACACATATTACACACAATGATATGTACAAGGTAAAAAGGGGTTGGTTATACGCGTATACATTGAAGTGATGTGTGTATAGTAAAAGGGTTTAAAAACCCCCGGGACAAACAATAGTGCAGGGAATACACTTGTCGTCTCTACCCTTTTCAAGAAAAAAAAATGGCATTGTAAACGACGGCACCGCAATACCTGTTGTTGTATTATCTTTTTCTTATTTTTAAATATTTAGCAGTACGCAACACATATTTTTGCAGGTAATTTACTAAAAAGACATTTAAAATACTAAATTATTAATAATAATATCAATAAAAAAAGTCTAAAACTGACGAAAAACAAATGTATCAATAATATTCTTATTGTTTTTGATAGTTTATTTTTTAAGATTTGTATTAAAAATTGTGATTCTCTTGAATTCGTCCCTGTAAATTTTTCAAAGTATTAAATGGGCTATCAGTGTGGGTAGGCATTTCAGATAAAAATAAAAAAGAGGAAAAATGAAAGGCCACCGAAATAAAGGTAAATTTCATATGAAGGTGGCCCGAAGGCGTTACTGCGGTAGTTGGATGGAAAGGTATCTAGAGAATTAGATATTATTCGTTTGATGGTTAATACACGAACAGAGGGCGAAAGTGATAAATAACATTTAATACATAAATCACCTGAACATCAACTAGTGTAGAATGAAGTTGGTACCTACCAAGACGAAAGAATTAAATTTTACAAAAACATATTTTTGTTTTTAAAATACTGTTCAGGTATGAAGAATTCACTGTATTAAGCATTTGAAAATATTTGCAATTTGTTATTGGTTTCACCTCTTCTTATAAATAAGATGTTATTAAATAACAAAAGGATGTCGAAAAAAATATTTTTTTTTTTCAAAACATAATTACCCTACTTTTGTGCTATACCGAAAAAAAGTGTTTTTAACCACTTTGGTTTGCATTATTTTTTATGTATTTACAATACACAAGAGGTTCTTTAAGAAACATTGAAATATTTTGTTTCAAATCATTTTTAAATGGATGTGGTTCCATAAATTATGTCCAATTTGTTGTATTTGAAATTTTTTAACAATGGTTTAACATTTAGTTACAAGTATGATATTTTCTTTTCACAAACAACATAAACGATTAAGAAGAATAAGCCGTCTTTTGTAATAAATTAACACTTTCCCTTTTATTTCTGGGCGGACTTCCCCTGCATAAATACAAAACTTACATTAAAATATTATGATTATCATTCGGAACTGAAGTAATATAAATCAACAGTGCGTACTATGTTTAATAATAAGTGGCAATTGTAAGAGTAGTGTAAAAGTTATCGTTAAAGAAATTACTTTTTCACTTTTATAGCTCACTTCTCCCCTCTTTTATTATTTTTTATTTTGATATCCTGTTGTGTTTTCCGCGAATGGTTAAAATTTTACGACCCTCGTCAGCCATTTACAATTTAGAATGTCTTCAAAAATAACCATTAACTCTTATAAGAATACATTTGTTTTTGTAGAAGTGTATCCATTCACTATCCGAGAGGCGGTCGGGTTTAATTTGTGCAACCAATTTGTAGTCTTAAAAAATACTTCTTTTATATACAAAAGTTTACAAAATTCAATTGTTATAAAAGTCTTTAAAAAATTTAATTTGATAAAAAATAAAAAAAAACGTTAATTTATTAGTTTATTTTTTATAAAAATATTTCTTAAAATTAAAAGCAAACAAAAATACAAGACAGATAAATGTAAACTTATTCCAATCGTAAAATTTATTATTGTATAGTTTTTGAGTTTACGTTTTTTGTAAATAAACAATTTTTCGAAAATAATATCATGAATGGCATTAAGTGTTTTTATTATTTCTTCTTACATGAACTGATTTCTAATAAAAATTGATAAAAATACACTCTACCTAGTTATTTTTGTAAGGTATTCCAGTAATTCATAAATGACCCCAAAGTGTTTGGTTGAAGTTAAAAATATGAAAAATAAACATTTTATATGATTTTATTTGGTGCGTTTTTTTATCGCAGTTTACAGTATTGAATAATTGGTGAGTTTTTTAAAACTTGTGTCATTGTTTGAACAAAAGCAACGCATTTATGGTGACGTCAAATGTTAGATAACACCGAAATGATTTTAAAAAATTATTACAACAATTATTTTTTTCGGTGTAAATAATGTAATTTAAGCTATTAAACTTACAGTGCCTTCCAAACTCTGAGATGCCAAAAGTATTTCACCTATCGGCATGTCTATTTGGTTGCGTAACTATCACTCTGAAGGGGCATTAGTTAAATGTTATTTCGGTTGTGAAGTGCGATTGCTAAACTAACAATCAAAATTATATTTTTTATATTTCCAACATAGAGTATATTGATACATATTTTTATTTAATCATTTCAATGCACTCGAGAAATATAATGATCACGTCGAGTGAATAGTGAATAGTAATAATTTTTTTCGAAGAAAATCGGTAGTTTAAGTAGTTTGTATATTTGCTTTTCGATGGACTTTTTCTAAGGACATTACTTCGTGGTAAAATATATTTAATAAACATATTATTTTCATCGAAACTAAATTTTTTATGTCTATATTTCCCTCTATATATAATCCTATCTTACTATTCCTGATTTTTCTCTTTAGTACGTACCACTCGTACGTTTTATAGACATCATATACTTTATAAATTAAATAATGAATACTTTTTAAATTACTAATAAATTTTGTTTGTTTATTAATGCTATTGCTTATTTTAGTTATATACTTTGAATTCTATGAAATCTTTGAAAGAATAAATATATTATAAAGTACCCAGTTTCTTTTACAACATAAAATATTTGTTTAATCAAAAATTTATATCGATCAAAATCAGAATATTAAACGAAAATAGTAATTGAGTTTTTTCAAGACTTGTTATTTAATTAATTGTGTAGCAGAGTTTGAAAAATTCATTGAGTATTTTAGAGATAAAACACATTACTTTTATACTTGAAAAACAGTTTTAATTTCTCCCTTAAAATTTGATTATGTATTAAAACTTTTGACATTTTAAATGCATTGTTAAGTTGATCTTTCAAATTCTTTTCAACAAAAATATTTAATTAGTCTCGTAATTAAACATTTTGTTTTAAATGAAACAGTATGCAAATGTGTGGTAATGTATAAATAAATTAATGAATTTCTTTATTGTACAAAACATTTGCATAAAAAAAAAAAACTTATTTTTGTTACTGATGATAAAAGTTTGTAATACAAAAATTGCATACGGAATCATAACGTGAATAATATTAATACTTAAAATGTAATTTATGAAAATACTTTATCGAAATAAGAAAACAAAAACTGTTATATTGACTGTCAAATAGATAATTCAACTTTAAGTCAATGTTACTCCTATCAAAGGGTCTCGCTGTTATAGAATTTTTAAACAAAATTTTAATTTTGTTATTTTGGGCTACAAATCATTAATATTTTTAATTTTTAAAAATGGGCGTTTTTAACATCTTTGTATTAAAAAAATTTGAAACATAATCAATTATATTTGTATAACTTCATTAAAAGATGTTTGTTTTGTTAACATATTTTTATCTCCCAAGACTATCAATAATACATCACTAGTGCTTTTATTTCAAATTCATAAAATTGTTTGAACATAATATCTAAATCTAATTTTGAAAATTAAAGAAGCTATGCTATTTCAAATAATCTATATAAGTATAGGGTAAATTATTTTATTAAATTTTATAGTAATTATTTTGATTAAATGGTATGTTAGCC